TAAGAAGATGTTTCGCCACTCATTGATGTAGTCATTCAACCCTTAAGAGCTATCTCCATGGCAGGAAGTATCTTCTTCTTGATGGAAACCCTAGATGAATGGAAGAACTCCCAAATAGTGTATGTCTCCCTAATCTCTAGCCTCCTCTCCAAGATTGTATATGATGATGATGATGATGATATCTATAAAAATGTATCAAAATCCTTATATAGGTAGCTCAAGTGTCACACCCAATGGTCAAGTATCGTGCACTCTGGTCCCTTCAATGATTGCACCATGAGCTATCTTTTAATGAGCTGGACTCCGTTTTATTTTAGACTTGAGGAGGTTTGATCGATCGAATTCAGATGAGATCGATCGAACTATGGCCAGATCAATCGAAGTAAAGCCAGATCGATCAATCCTTGGCGGCGCCTTTTTGGAAAGAGACAAATCTGAGATATTTTTGGGATATTTTGGGAAAAAGACAAAAGTGGTAGGTGGGGATAAGATCAAAGAAGTTCGATCAATCTGAAAAAAGTTAGATCGATCGAAGATGAAAATTCTTAAGGATAAGAACAAAGAGTTTGATCTATCTTGGCAAGGCTAGATCGATCACAGTGAGATCGATCAAAAATATCTCTGATCGATCGAAGCTTGCTATTTTCTACCACTTTGCTTCCACTTTGCTCCATTCTTCCATTTAGCTTGAGATTGCTTCTTTTATGCTCTAATTTGGCTGAATTGACTTATTTTGGGGATAAGCACCAGGAAAGGGCAATAACATGAAATTAATCTAAAACGGGAAACTAAGGTTGATAAAGGTCCTAGAATACTTGAGCTTAATGGGTTTAAATGCGCACTTTTCAGTGCTCATCAGAATCCATCTTCTTTTCTTATCATGAAATGACTATTTTACCCTTACCTTCCGCACTTGTGACCCGAGTCCCCGGGTTGGGTTTAGGTTTGCTGGTTGATGCATTGAGTCATGGAATTTGGGCTGACACATGGCATGGGTTCTTTGATTTTCTTGCACAACCAACATATATTTGGTCATCTAAATTCTTCGAATAAAAGTAATAAAATTTTCTTTATTTATTGGCAAAAGTGCAAAAAACCCCCTGAATTATTCAATTTTTTGCAAATACCCCCCTAAAGTACCAAGGTGTGCAAATACCCCCCTGAGACTCACCGGACGGCATATGTTGATTTGAAATGACCGAAATAACCTTACTTATTACATTATATAAAATAAATAAAAAATCTAATTATAAAATACCATTTATACCCCACTAACTTAAGTTTATGTTAGAGAGAGAGAGAGAGAGACGTACAGAAAGTTAGAGAGAGATGGAGGCACAGACGGGGGAACTGGGTTTACCGTGATAACAGATCCACAATGGGCTGTGAGAGGATCAACAACCAGAGAGGATTCCGACGACGACGAAGCAACAAGGAATAAAGGATATGTTCTCGGAGTAACTGAACAATAAGGACGGTTTGTTGTGGATGTTTCCAGAGTTGAAGTACTATTCAGGAGACGACGGCGATTCGATGAGGATGGTATGCCGATGGTGGTCTCACTGGATGATGAGATGGTTCGTCGTCATCTTGGAACGAATTATGGGTACTGAGTTGGATAGAGAGCGAGGAGTGAATGAGTCGATGACTTAACCGGGACCATTAACAGACCCCTCCAATGCTATCGGTGATGAGGTTAAAGTAGAGGAAAAGATTGAGGCGGCGATGAAAGACGAAGGCGACGAATTGGGACGGCGGTGAGAGAGAATTCCGGCGAGCAATGGCTAGTTTTCTACAGATATATATATATATATATATATATATATATGTGTGTGTGTGTGTGTGTGTGTCACCACTACCACCACTTCTACCACCATCATCACCACCCATTCTGACCCATGACAAAGCTAATCACACCCATCACTGAAGGAACAGTAATGCATTGCATTCTATGTTTAAATTTTGATAATTAAATTTCATTCATACACACACACAAATTTGAATTTTTAAACCTTAAGCCCTAACAAAACAAAACCATTCTCACACCTCTAATCAACAACAATCTCATGAAATTTTACAAATTATTCAGCTATATTTCCATTGCATTTCTCTGTTTTGTCTCTGTTTCCAACGCCGAAGACGATGTGAAGTGCTTGCAAGGTGTGAAGAACTCTCTCACTGACCCTCATGGCAAGCTCAATTCATGGACTTTCACCAACAGTTTAATCCGCTTTCTGTTTGAATTCGTCGGAGTTTCATACTGGAACGACTTTGAAAACCGTCTCTTCAGCCTCGGGCTTCGCGATATGCATCTCACCAGCGAAATTCTGGAGTCTCTACACTACTGTCATAACTTGCAATGTCTCGATCTCTCCGGTAATGATCTCACCGCCGGTTCAAATTATCAAATTTGGAAAGAAGTTTCTGTTGCAAGCAATGATCTTTCCAGCACAATTCCTATGAATTTTGAAGATTTTGTTGCGAGGGATTTTGCTAGGAATAATGGACTTTGTAGGAATCCAATTGGGGAGAGTAGTGGTTTGAGTAATAAGAATCTTGCAATTAGAATTGTAGTGGGTGTTTTTGGTGCTGGGGTGTGGATGTTGTTAGGGTTTGGGTTGGGGCGGTGGTGCTTTAAGAAGTTGAATTAGAGGAGCCAAGAATGGTTACTATTGGATTGAAAGAGGGGATGATGATATAGTTGGATTGAGAAATTGAGGGCGCACAAGCTTGTTCAGGTTTCGTTGTTCTAGAAACTGCTTGTGAAACTTAAGCTGGCGGATTTAATGGCTGCCACCAACAATTTCAGATTGCCCTCTCTGTCTTCGTCGTCTAGAGGGTTTTCATGATAGTCTCCTTCTCCTCCTCCTCCTTCGCCGCCGCCACCGCTTAAATTCATCAATGCTCGTGTCTTCGAAGCCTTCCCCGACTCCTTCATCGGAAGCTTCCATTGCTTGCTTCTTCGATTGACATGCGAATCGTACTGTTGATCACCGATGTCCCCCAATCAGAGACGCTCAGCCTTCGCTACCGTTTCGTACCAACGTTCTCTTATGAAGTCACCATCAAATTAGTTCCGCTGTTAATCTGACCCTCCGGTGGCTGTAGAAGATCTGTCATCCGATTCTTACATTGTCCGAGGGGAATGATATATATATATATATAAGTGAAAAAAAGAAAATCTAACAATGAGGTCAAGGAATGACTTTTTTGGTACTCTTCTTGACGTCATCCAATGGGGGTATAATTGGTATTTTATAATTAGGCTTTTTTTATATATATAATGTAATAAGTAAGGTTATTTTGGTTATTTTAAATCAACGTACGCTGGAAAAGTTGATCCGGTGAGTTTCAGGGGGTATTTGCACACTTTGGTACTTTAGGGGGGGTATTTGCAAAAAACTGAATAGTTCAGAAGTTTTTTTGCACTTTTGCCTTATTTATTGCTGGACTTCTTTTTAGTGTTTTGAACCAAACATAAACTCTAGGGAGAAAGTAAATCCCCATTTCCAGCAAGAATCTGGCTTCTACGAGAGTGAGATAACAGAGTAATTAGAACACAGAAATAGGGAAATATTGAGTAGATATTATTATTATTATTATTGTTATTATTATTTTTTGTTTGTGCGCGCGCCATATACTAAATTTCATTTAAGATGCACCATTTCTAAAGAAGAAATTATAATTGGGAAAAAGATTGAAAATTCCCTTGTTTGTTTTTCTTTGGTTTTACTGTTAATCTATGTTAACAGCATAACGAAAGGAAAAGCAATTCATACAAAATGAGTAGGTTTTCACTTAATTGAGTAAGTTTATAAGTAAAAAGGAATTCGTCACATTATGGGTTTATGGATTCTTTAAGCCAATTAGAGAGATGCTGAATATGAGGTGTTAATTATATTACTTATTGGATTGTGATTAAGTTGGAGTTAGAATATGCAATCAGCTTCTACTCATTCCTGCACATAGGGACTTTGTTGAATTTGCAATCAATTCAATGATGATGGTCTCAAAATTATTAATCCCTTATTCTGGGAGCAAGTAATAATATTTGGATTCAAATTATTGGTCTCCGTCAATCAAGTGTTGACACAGAACTAACATATTTATTTATTTATTTATCCGCACATTATTAAATGATGTCGAAATCATGCAATAATTTTTAGTTCGCACACTTATCACAGACGGCCCTAACTTTACTAGTGACACACACTGTTGGATGAACTTTACAGTCTGATTCAGAGCACCTAGGAAACAAACAGTGTGACAGACTTTGGAATTTAACAGCTAAATCAAAAAATAAAGCTGATAAAATATAGGTCAAAGTTGTTGAATTATTATCTTTAATAGCACAAGGCCCAATGCTTTTCAGCTTTTTGGATCAATTAATCTTATCCTAATGAAATGGAAAAAGATCTCATAATCTAATTTAGAGTAAAAAGGAATAATTAATAAAGCTACTTATGCTTTACTCATGCCCAAATTTCAGCAGCATACCATTCAAAGGCTAAATCTCACATTCCATGCCAAATTGCCAATATTGTAACTATTTCTTTGAATAGTCACTTTTTTTTTTTTTTTTTTTTCTGTTTTTGTTTTTTTGAGTGCTCTTATTATAGGTAGCCTAGGTATTTAATGATTTCCACCATTTTTCACAATCCAAAGCGAAGAACATCTTCAATGCAAAATACTATATTTTCATACTAAATTTATATTTTTGAGAGGCGTTATAATGTCAAAATACTATATTTTAACAATTTTACTCGAATGGTACATTTCATCTAAAATACTATATTTAAATTAGAACTAATATGACATGTCTTTTGAGAGCTACTATATTGGGCATAGAAGTGCCTTATTTTCATCAATTTGAAATATTTTATATTTGGTAATACTTTTGACTCTCAAAATATAAGAGGTCCTTTGAGAGTGCCTTATTTTTATCTATTTGAAATATTTTATATTTGGTAATACTTTTGACTCTCAAAATATAAGAGGTCCTATGAGAGTGCCTTATTTTCATCCACCTATTATATTTTGAGTTTGAAAGGTCATTTGAGAAGTCATTAAAAATGTTCTTAGAACTGATAGATAGATCTATAGCCCCCATTATTAAAACATGGATCTCAAATTTTATAGCTGGACTTAAAATAAAATAAAAATAAAATAAGGATCAAATAAAAACTTAAAAAAGAAAAAAAGAAAAAAAGGGGGAAGGTGAGTATGATTGCATGGCAAACTAAAGAGTAAACAAAGAAGTGCTAATGATTCTGAAGTAGCGTCAAGGGTAAGGCATAATACATGGTATAATAATCACCCTTAAAGGTACTTTAGATTCAAAACTAGAGTTACCCACACTTTGGCCTACTCAGATATGTTTTTACATACAAAGATTGCAATTCTGTGTCTCCCCTTCACTTTTCACAGCAGCATCAGGAAAAGCACACCACACACAGCCATTTGAGCTGCAACAAACCCCACCACCTGCATTACCACCCAAAAAGAAAAAGAAAGAAAAGAGCAATCAAAACCCCCTCAGATTCTTCATTACATCTAATAAATAACTAAATTAGGCCTAATGGCATAACTTCTCTGTTCTCAAAGGAGTAGAGGAGTAGAGGGGACGTGGCCCTAACACACATACATACCCTTTTACCCACATCTGGGCTCAAACCCCTCATTTGACAATACTGTGAGTGTTTTAACTTGAAAAATAAAATAAACTTGAGTCTAGTCTAATTTTATTGGATTGAAAGAGAAAATAAGGAGTTAAAGGAACCTGTTTTCCATATCCAGAGGTGGGCAAAGGGCGTATTGTAGCAGAGTCCACTTCACCAGTGGGCAGAGGCACTGCTGGATTACTGTTAATAAATGGCATACCATTACCACCGCCTTTGTCTGGTACCAAGGATGGACTTGTGGCCGGAAGGATTGAAACCGGCGCTGGACTTGGTGAGGTCGCTTGCCGAGGTCGGAACGGCCACGGGTATGCCGGAGAAGACGACACGACGCCACCGGAACTTGGTGGCGGAGCTGCAATTGGAGATAGTTCTGGAGAGAGATCCACGTTGGACACTTTTATGGCAAGCTTTTGTCCATCACAAGTCTCTTGAGTGCCGTTGTTGAAGGAGAAGTAGAAGAAACCAGGCCGAGATGGGTACCACTTAACATCATAAGCCAAAAAAAAATGAATGGTCAGACTTTGGCCAAAATTGTGTTAAAAAAAAAAAAAAAAAAAAAAAAAAAAAATATTGTATTAGCACAAATAGAGAGAGGGAGAGAGATACTTTGAAGGAAGTGGAATTGGGTTTAGTGAGAAGTGTAGCTTGAGTGAAGTTGCAGAGATCAAAGGCTCTTTTGTTCTGGAAAATGTAAAGGTTGTAGTCATCCTTGTGCTTGAAAACTGAGGGGAAAAAAAACACCAATGGAGGTATATTAGTATAAACTACAAAAGGAACCAAATATATATATATATATATATAAGGCATGAAGTTCTTACTGATGGAGTCTCCCACATGAACAGAGGGGTTTCTCCACTCTGAATATCCATCCACTGTTATTACAGTTTTAGAGTGAGAAAGCTTGAAAAGTAGAGAGAGAATAGAGAAGAGGAATACAAGCATGGAGGAGACTTCCATGAACTGCTGACTGATGTGTTCTGTTTATGTGTGAGAGAGAGAAACAGATTTGACAGGAAGGCTTAATCTCTGGTGTCTGGGCAATTGAATGAGAGAGAGAAGGTTGTGTTGAGACTTGAGAGAGAGATAGAGAAGAGACAAAGAGAGAGTGTTAAAGTGTCAGGGCGTGTTTGGCTTTCCATGTGAATACTTTGAATGGGTTACAGAGATGGAGGTTTGTGATATTGGAGAGTGTGTTTATTAGTCATTGTTTACAGTAAAAGGTGAAATGATTTTGTTCCGGAAAAAAATTTCAAATAGAAAGTGGTAACTGTGTGATTGATGATGATGATGGGGATTATTATTCTAAAATGATTAGATATGTGATTATCAACCTCTGCAACCTCTATCTTGAATTTTGCTAAAATAATAACTAATGGGTAGTGTGGGGAATCCAATTTTGCTTTCTTTTATGAACCCTTTACCTTTCTTTATACTATTTTATGGATTTCTCATTCTTTATGTTTGAAGTTTGAAGGAATCAAATCTGTGAAGAGGTCATTCTTTGAACAACTAATTACTTACTAATTAGAGGGAACACTATGCTCTGGTAAGTGAGCCTGAAAACTTGTTATGAGGAATTAAATATCAGAACAAAACATATAAACATAAACATACCATAGTATAGACATATGTATATATATACATTTATAGTTCCCAGCCCAAATTGTGATCTAATTAATTACCCTGTGGAAGAAAAGGGTCATTCTTAACTAAATATGAGAAATTTAGATCTGGGAATTAAAAGGAGAAAGGAGAGAATGACCAGTGAATAATGTATATATATATATATATATATATAGGGGTAATTAAGAACAGATATCCATTTTAATATCTCAACAAAACATATAGGTGGTACTAACACTTGGTAATAGTTGTTATTGTACTCAATTTGAAGCAAAAAGTTTTTGTATACTCCGTATTAAAAAGGAAAGAAAGCTATATAAGTTGTCTGCTAGGCATGAGGATAGCAAGTTAAAAATTCTCTCGGCAGGACATGTATTTTTATTACTATAAAATTCATAAATGAAGTAATTAATGTTGGGGTTATCATTATCCTTTTTGTAGTGACGAATTTTGTATGTGTTCCTAAGAAAAGGAATTTGTCCATTTTTCGGGATCTCAAAGGGGTGTGAAAACACATAAGAACGCTTGAATGGAAATGGAAATGGAAAAGCAATGCAACTCTAGTTCCTTTGAAGAGGGTATGATCTTTGGCATAAGAAGAAGGGGTTGATCCGTATCATCTTGACTTGGTTCTGCTTCCTCTATTTTTTTAAGAATACCGAGTCGAGTTCTTCTCCTACCCGTATCGAATCGAATATGCTGAGCCAAATCTTCTTCATGTAAAACTTGCTTGATTTCATGTAAAACTTGCTTGATTTAGATTGGGAAAATCGTGCGATTTTATGAAACCATGTGCTATGGCTCAAAACTGTAGTCAATCCTATTTCTGATGAATCCGTAGTCAATCCTATTTCTGATAGGGGCAGTTGACAATTGAATCCAATTTTTCCCACTATTATCATATAAGTAATAGTACGAAAATAAGGCCTGGCTCCAAGTTGTTCAAGAATAGTGGCGTTGAGTTTCTCGACCCTTTGCCTTAGGATTAGTCAGTTCTATTTCTCGATGGGGGCAGGGAAGGGATTTAACTCAGCGGTAGAGTGTCACCTTGATGTGGTGGAAGTCATCAGTTCATGCCCCCGGTTGACTTTGGAGTGTCGGATTTCGACTTTTTCTATCTACTAATTTAACATGTAACAATTCTTGCCTTGAAAAAAAAAAAAAAATGATGAAATTTTATTAATTTTTACTCTGCAATTTTTTTTTTTCTTGCCTTGAAAAAAAAAAATTTGATAAAATTTTATCAATTTTTGCTTCACAATAAAAGTGATAAAATTCAGCATTTAAAGTGGGATGTTCTTAGTGTTAAGTTTGACCATTTTTACTTGGCATGAAATTTATCTATTGAAAAAATCAAAATAAATGTAGTGAAGTTACACTAAAAAAAAAAGGAAAAAAAGAAAGAAAAAGTGTTTTAAAAAGTATTTTGATTAAGTAAATGGAGACAATACCGCAAATATTATCATATGACTAAATTACATAATTACAGAGGGAGAGAGACAGTGACTGAGGAAACTTAGTTTGGAATAATTACTCGCCCACAACTTTTCCCTACTGAAAAAACTTTCATCTTTTTTTCTATTAATTGGTCAAGCCGGAGGAAGGGGTATTTCTAATTTCAAAATACGCAACGGTTAGAAATTTTATGATTATGCAACAATTGATTATAAACTTGATGCTTTTTCCTTTTCCCAATCAATTACAATTTATTGGTTGCATGGCACGGAAAAGAGGAAGGCAACCCTCTGACTCTAATTTGGTGAGTTTGTTCACATGGTGACATCGGCTAAAACACCAAATACAGCCCTCCCACTAAAGAAAAACATATTGTAACCTTCGATGTGGGCCCAAGTCCAATTTACAACAAAAGGATAGAAAGTGAACCAAGACAAAGACAAAGAGACAAAAAGGACCTTGAAAGGTCCATTGAGAGGACCTTTGACAACCCAAAACACGAAAAACTAAATAAATGAAAAAACTAATTGGAAATGTTTTGTACCAGAGGGAAGGTTGAGACGAGCAATTCAATTCAGAAGAAATCCGGGAGTTCTTCGAACAGAGGCGTGGCAACCTCTATCCAACGGTGTTTATAAATTGAATTTTGATACTTTTTTTTTTTTTTTTGACTCATTCTGGAGAAGCTGCTAGTGAATTTGTTACTCGAGATTCAGAAGGGTGCATTGTCAAAGCTGCTATCTGTTCCTTGCCACACATGACTTCTGCTTTAATGGTTGAAGCTGCAACGGTTAGAAAGGCAATCAAATGGAGTTTGGAGTGGGGCTTTACTGATTTAATTGTTGAAGGTGATTGCAAAGTTCATCTTCATTCAAAGAATCTTCAGAGTTGCATAGCTGCTATTTGGAACGATATTAGCTTTTTGCTTCCCAAGTTTCAAAGCATATCTTTGCAGTGGGTTGGTAGAAAAGCTAATTCTGTAGCTCATGTATTGAGTCATCTGGGCTTGAAAGAGAAAAGTGATATAATGTTTAATCTTGTTATTCCCAGAGTAATTCAAGATGCAACCTTAGTGGACTGCCATCAGTTGTAATGTGTTTTTCCTTTGAATCAATGAAATCTTCTTTCTTGCCTTGAAAAAAAAAAAAATTCAATTAAGAAGAATCATGCCATTCAGCATTTTATTATATCTTCCGTTTTAATTTAAGTATCCTGTTTTAAAAATCGTGACTCACAAATTATGTTAACAACTAATAAGTTAATAACTTTTGAGGAAGTTTGCCAAACTGTGTTAACAAGTTTCAGCTAACTAATATTATGATTAGTCATATGATTAAAATTTACTTGATCTCGATCCGTTTGAACTTAATTGTTTCAATTTTTGAAAAGTCTTTGCCAATATTGAGAATTTTTCTAAATTGGAATATTCATCATAGTTGAAATTTGAGCCTAAAAACCCAACTCTCTAACACTCCTCATTTAGTTAGAGCATACATATTAAACATACCTAGCGTGAAACACAATCACCAAAATGCAACACGAGTTAACAGCTTCGTAAAAATATCACCCAACTGATTGTCAAGAAACAATCTATTTCTGCATCAACAAATCACGAATAAAATGGAAATCAACCTCTATATGCTTAGTGCGCTCATGAAAAACAGGATTGCCAGTAATAAAGATAGCAACCTGATTGTCACAATACATAGGCATTGGAGCAAGAACATCAATACCCATCTCCTAAAGAAGAGAGTGAACCAATAACGACTCTGAAGTGGTATAAGCTATGGCACGATATACGTACTGAACCTCAGTACTACAACGAGCAACAACAGTCTACTTTTTACTACGCCAAATAACAAAATTCTCACCAACAAATATGCAATAGCCAAAAGTAGAGCGCCTATCAGAACGATTTCTAGCCCAATCAACACCACTAACATCTGTCACAGATAAGGAGGAAGAGGGTATATATAACAACCCATTCCTAGGGGCACCGTTTTGATAACATAAATCCTAAAAACAACCTCAAAGTGTGGCTGACGAGCAGCATGCATATACTAAGTAACCACACTAACAACATAAGTGATATCAGGATGGGTAGCACTAAGATAGATCAACTTTTCAACCAAGCGACGATAGCATCCAACATCAACAAACAACTCCTTTGTTCTCCATCAAGTTTGATAGTAGAGTCCATAGGAGTATCATTACGTCGAACACCTAAGAAATCAGCCTTAGATAGAAGATCAAGCACATATTTCCATTGTGAGAGAGAGATACCCAAATAAGAATGAGCAATTTTAATTCCAAGGAAATAGCGTAGGACACCCAAGTCTTTAGTATGGAAGTGTTGACCCAAATGTCATTTTAACTCTATAATACCAGTAGAATCACTCCTAGAAATGATAATATCATTAACATAGACAATCAATATAATAATGCCAGTTGAAGAACAACAAGTACATACAAAATGCTCAAAACTGGAGTGCTAAAAACCAAAAGCAATTACCACAACACTGAATCTATCAAACCAAGCACTAGGTGATTGTTGTAGGCTAGAAAGAGCCTTTCGCAGTTGTTGACCTTAAAATTGGTAGGTTTTGCTGATTCAAAATTTGGAATATGCAGGTGTCACCGAACCAACAATTTGGTTCAAGTATGAAATGAAGTGAACTTAGTCTTTTTGGAACAATAGTTAACTAGGCGATTAAAGAAAGAGAGAACATCCACTTTCTTGTGTGGATTCAAATTTCCTTAATGAACAAAACTTTGAAAGGGAAAGTGAATCGCAATGAAATATAAATTGACTGAATATAGAAATTGCTGGAATAAGAAATAACAAAAAACTTTGAGAGATTAAATGGGAGGAAAATAATGAAGACAAACTAAATTAGAAAGCTTGATTAACTATGAAACTAAACCTAAGGGAGTATACTAAGGAAGCATAATTAAAATAAAATAAGGATTCTGAGAAAGTCTTAGCTGCTACCACTACCTAGACATGTTTAAAATTTTCTTTTACTGGTAAAATTGAATTGGTTCAGGCTGTTATCACCCCATTGGCTCACTACTGGTCCTCAGTCTTCACTATTCCTGTTGTGGTGATCAACACTAATGAGAGCAGTGTGAGATATATTTTTATAATTGACAAATCTCTATAACAAAACAAGTCTTAGTCGAGTTGTAATTTTAGTTACCATAACGACATCAACTGCGGA